TCAGCTATACAATCTTCCAGAATTTCAACATTTTCCTTCTACCAACACTATATTTCGACATTTCAAGAGACAAAATTTCCAAGAATCTTTTTCATGAACATTACATAAGTAAACATTCATTTAACGTAAAATCATTTATTTTTATTTTTTGTATATTTTTTATGTTAGTTAAGGGTTACATTCTTCAACAACGTTTTGTTTTTGTTTTTTTTTTTTTCCTGTTTCAATGGCAGAAAAACGATACAATCTTGCAATATACTATAATGGTGGAATAATTAATGATGAGTGTGGAATTTCATACGAGGGTCCTGATCCAAAATGGGTACGAGTTAATCAAAATATTTTGTTTATCAATCTCTACAATCGATTAATCGATACTACAGGTATAGACCACAATGATGGGAATATCTTGATTACATACAGATTTCCAACTAGAAGTTATCTCATGCTGTCTACTACACATCACTTGAGATCACAGATGATGATAGGTTGATGGTATATTTGATATAATTGATTCAACTCCTAACTACAACATTGCCAAGTTATGTATCACTGTGGAGCCCATCAATGTTTTTTTTCTTATACTAATGCTAATGTCAATGTGCAAGTAGGTATAAGTGAACAGACTCCCATGGATATGTATTCTCTAATCAATACACATGACCATCACTTTGAACCTACTTACTTTGCATCAACTGGTCATGACTCCCATGGTGATCATTTGGAACCTACTTACATTCTACTTATCAACATTGACTTTGATGGGACAAAAGATATTCAACCACAGTCCACCAATGAATTATGTGTAACAACCACATATGTTGTACAAGAAATGATTGCAAATGACATCCATATCCTAGCGGATGATGGTTTGGACCTTGAAGACGATGATGCTGATGAAGAAGTTGGTCTATCAACTTAAAGAGGATAGAGTGACACACCTGCTTTTCACCTGGCCCCATCTCCAATGTTTACTGAGGATACATGGTCAATTATGAATAATCCCTCTATACCATTGGCAGTTGATTTCACTAGTATATGGAATGTAACAAAGGAGTTAAGTGAAGGACTATTGTTTCGAAACAAGGAAAACTTACAAATTGCAGTGAACCATTGTGGCATGATGAGAAACATTTACCATGTTGTGGTGAAGTCAACAATAAACTTGTGGAAATTGCATTGCAAAAATGGGTGCAAATGGAAGCTTAGAGTGTGTAAACGTGTCAAACATGGTTTATTCGAGATCACTAAATATGAAGGACCTCACACATGTGTATATGTAACGCTTACACAAGATCATTCAATGTTGAACACAAAGTAGTTTGAGCACGAAGTGCAAGATCTTGTAAAGACGGATCCATCAATCAAGATCTATGTACTAAAAGCCAATATTAGGCAAAAGTTCGATGGTTTCTTACCATTTTATGCTAAGGACTAGAATGCAAAGCAAAAAGTCATTGCAAATATCTTCGGGGATTGGAATAAATCATACCATAGCTTACCAAAATGGATGACGGCTATGATAGATTCCAATCCAAGAACTATCGTTTTAAGGTGTTGCAAATAACGTTATATTCGAACTAGTGTTCTGGGCATTCAGTTATTCTATTGAGGGTTTCAAACATTGTAGGCCAGTCATCAACATAGATGAAACCTTTTTAATTGGAAAATATAAAAGTAAGTTGCTAATTGCAATTTCATAGAATGCAAATAATCATGCATTTCCAGTTGCCTTTGCCGTTGTGGAGGAGGAGAGACTAGATACTTGGTCATAGTTTTAACATGCATTAGGAAGTACGTGACATAACAGATTGGCCTCTATCTTTTATTTGACAAACATGGAGGAATCTTATCATCTGTGAATTGCTTACGTTTGTGGCAATATCCAAATGGTTATCATTGCTACTGCATTTGCCATTTTGCCAACAACTACCATGCAAAGTATGACAATGTGATGTTACGAGACATGATCACTTTGGCAGCTTATGAGGATCAAAAGAAGAAGTTTGATCGGAAAATGAAATCAATCAAAGACTTAAATTCCAAAGCTGCAGATGGACTTGATTGTGTGCCACTTGAATTATGGGCACTAGCACATGATGGTGGCAAATGTTATGGAGCTTTGACTACCAACCTTTCTGAAAGCTTCAATGGAGTGTTAAAAGGTGCACGACATCGTCCTATCACATCACTGGTACAACTAACCTTTTATAAATGTGTTAATTATTTTCAAGAACGATGTAACAAGGCCAGTGAAGTTTACTGTGCTTATGCAAAACAAAGGCTCACAATATGGGAGAAAAAGTCTAGGGGTCATTCAGTGTAGAGTTTCAATATGAATTTGGGCATTTTTGATGTTCAAACTGCTGTGAACTCCTTATATTCGAATCGGGGTTTGCTTCTTCATGTGGTCAACTTGATGGAAAGAACATGTGATTGTCAAAAATGGACAAATTATAAAATTCCATGATGCAGTATGTAAATTTGCTAGCCTTACCATCTACAATATATTGATAAATGATACACATTGAAAGCACAAATGACATGTTATCAACACTCATTCAACCCTGTAGTTGATGCTGCGTATTGGCGAGAGCCTAACTTTCCAAAACTCCATCCCAATTTGAACCGTGCTAGGACTTATGGTCATCTAAGGACAACACAACTTCAAAATGCTATGGATTGGCGTGAGTCTCAACCCATAGAAAATTGTGGATTGTATGGGCAACGTGGTCATAATTAGAGGAGATGTCCAAATAGCAATGTAACAACCTCAAGTAGTGGGTCACATAACTAATGATTATCCAAATCAATTGTACCATGTATTATATTTTCAATATTGAATGTAATGTTAGTAATCTTATGTTGTATATCGTATCATATTTCTTAATATAAAAATGTGTTGTAACATTTATGTTTTTATGAGTAAAATGAAATAAATGATAAGCATTATAATTCACGTAGTTGTAGTTTTATGTAGATAGTTAATTCAGAGAGTTGTCACATTTCCAAATTTAATATAAATATGTGTGATAACATTTATGTTTTTATGAGTAAAATGAAGTAAATGATAAACATTACATTTCACATAGTTGTAATTTTATGTAGATAGTTGATTTAGAAAGTTGTTTCAAATTGACTTTATTTTTTGTAAGGCTAATAATGCAAGTGACATTAGTGACTACCTATTAACATAGGTATTAAGTTGTTGAATTAACCAACAATGCATTAGAGTTTGAATTTGTACCATACCACTATGTGGTTCGTCAATAAAAATCTTATGTTGTATAATTATTATCTTTTGGAGTAAATTACATTGACCTCCTCTAAAATGTAAAAAATATATATTATGCCTCACATTTTTCATATAATTACGCTAATCTTCCTTTTAATAAGGTTAAATAAACCGAAACTAAAGCAAATATTGTGTAAGCACAAAATAAATAACGTAAAATATACAATTTTGTTTAAAAAGGATGACAATATTATTTTTTCATCCATATAACTAAAAAATTTATTCATGAAATTTAAGTATTATACAAATTAAAATAAGGGAACTCAATGTAATTATATTAAAATTATAACGTTTACTATATTACGTCAAGGGAGTCCTTATCTTTTATTAAAATTCACTTTAATATGTAGGAAGAAGGAGGAGAGAAAAAAAATATATATATATATACAAGGAGTGATGATTTGACATGAATAAAAATTTATATATACTAAAATAATATGAATAGTTTGGTTATGTATGTTAAAAAAGGTTGAAGTGAAAGGAATTTCAATTGCCAAGGAATTACTGAATTTGAATTTCAAATGACATTTTCAAAATGAGTTTTGTAATTGCGCAACTTTACTCTCGAAATACGAGTATGTTGAAATTTCATTTACCATGTCATTGTAACAAAAGCCATGTCAACTTGAAATAGCATTTTCAACATGCGATTTCAACCTGCCACATCAGCGCGTCGCGATCCATGTCTACCTGAAATCGCATTTTGAATATGTGATTTCAAGTTGAAATTGTATGTTCATAATGCGATTTCAAAAGTAGGTCAGGTTCCCAAATAGTTTTAAAAGTTGGTCAATTCTTTAATTTGTTTTTTTTTTAAATATTCAAAAGAAAAAAAAAAACTCCATGTTTGTTTGTTTCTCAAAACATATTTTTAGAGAATAAATTTCAAAAATATGTTTGGTTGAAATTTTTTTTTAAAAAAAATTCAAAATCACTTTTGTCTGTACTACACATTAATCAATCACTTTTTCTCTTTCCTCTCTCATTCTCAATTATTTTTTCTCTCATATTCTTCTTACAAAAAAAAACATATTTTTAGAGAATAAATTTCAAAAATATGTTTGGTTGAAATTTTTTAAAAAAAAAATTCGAAATCACTTTTGTCTGTGCTACACATTAATCAATCACTTTTTCTCTTTCTTCTCTCATTCTCAATTATTTTTTCTCTCATATTCTTCTTACAAAAAAAATAAATAAAAATAAAATAAATAAAAAATCATTTAAAATTCAAAAATTTTAAAACTATTTTAAAAATATACAACTAAACAAATTTTCAAATTTTTTAAATCCTCTAAAAAAAATAGTTTTAAAATAATATTTCAAAATATGCGATTAGTATTATTCAATATGTTTGGTTTCAGTTTTTTAAATTTTAGTTTTTTGAAAATTCAATTTTTTGTTTTTCATAATTTTTTTGTTTTTAATGAATATTTTTAAAATTTTAAATATTTTTTTTACTTTTTTAAATGTACCTTACTTAAATTTATTTTTTACTTTTTTAAATGTACCTTACTTAAATTTATCTAAATAGTAAATTATTTGTGAAAAATATTTTAAAAAATTAATAAATACACAAAAATACAAAAAAATAAAAAATCTATTAAATTTTGTAAGTATATTTAAAAATTAAAAAATTATTAAAAAAATTTATTAAAAATATTAAAATACAAAAAATAAAAAGGTACAAATATATTTTCATTGTCAGTTTTCTTCCTGTCAGAACAGAAGATCGATCGAAGAGGGCTCGCGAGACACAGAGGTAGAAGAGACGAGGAGAAAGAAAGAGGAGGAGAGTGGCCAAAGAAAAAAAGGACTTTGTTAGCCGCTCCGCTGAGGTGGAATTGAATTTGAATTTTGCATCTCCAAACAACATCTGATTTTAACGCCATCGCCATCGCCATCGCCATCGCCATCATCGCCCCCTTCCACAGCTGCCTGCCACCATCTCAATCCAAACCTATACTTTCTCTGCCACATCGCCACCCACCAACCACCATCCACCACCACCACCCACCACCGCCGATGCTGATATTGCTCGATCTACTTCCTCAGCTCGCCAACCACGTCTTTTAAGCTGTCAAATTCACCTTTGGTTTTGTTTTCTTTATTGAAGATCTGAGCCGCTTTGGTTTCTTCATCTTCCCACCCCTATTTCTCATCATCAGCTAGCTCTGTTTCAGGTAATTGGGCCTTTCCCCCTTTCATTTTCCCATTTTCTTTATTCTCTAAACCTTACTGCTCTTGCTTTGTTCTAATTGAAACGACTAGTTGCTGTCTCTTCTTGCTTCTTGTCTGAATCATCTCTTACTTTTTCTTATATTTAACATTTTGCATTTCTACCTCCGAAATGATATGATAATCGCAAAACTTAATCTGATTCCTTTGTTTGATTCACAATCCTCTATGGATTTCGAGAAGATCATTACATTTCCAAGTCATCAAGTAGGTATTGTGATTAATGCTTCTCATGTCACGCCTTCACTTTCTAATAATACTGTCAAAAATTACCAAATAATAACCATTAATGTTTCAAGAACTAAACCCACTTTTATACATTTAGTTATCATCCAATTCACTTGTTATATATTGCCTACATCCAGTATAACATATTGTGTTTACCCTCCAAAAGTACATGGGCTACTTGTGTTTAAAAAAAATAATTATTTTAGTGCAGCCCTAGGTTATATTCGTGTTATTGGAGTGTTTTGAGAAACATTTCCCTCTAGCAAGATGAATAGAACACAAATTTCAGCCTGCTATAAGGTGCATAATTCACTTTTATGGCAATGCATCATTTTTCATGAAACCCGTTCGGTTTCTAGAAGTTACAGTTATGAAAAGAGGCTTGAGCCACAACTGATTTGTTGAAATTGGCTGAAGACATGGTTGATTCCCAAAAAGGCCATGTAGGTAAAAAAAATAAAAATAAGGAGACTTGAATGAAAAGATAGATCAGATGGTGATCTAGAGTGGTTAGATCTCACTCTATATGCAATGTGGTCGTTCACAATATGAGGACTGCACACCAAACTAAGCAGCACTAAACTAAACAGCACTGATACAGACACATGACATAGATGCAATACGATACGACCATGTCAACATGACAATCTTTAAGAAATCAAGACACGACATGACCACAAACAAATATATTTTATATGAATACACAAATATGGCATTTTTTTTTTTTGTACATATTAAAAATTAAGTGTGAATCAAAATTTTGCAATATGTATTTAGAAAGCTCTATTCATAAACAAAATTAAAAGATTTGAGCTTTAGAATTCCAAAAATAAATAGGTATAAATTTGCATTGTTTTTATTTTTACCATTGTTTCTCTAGTTATTTTCTTCAAACTTGGAATATTTTATACGTGTGTGTCTAAGCGATGCAGAAGTGTCTCTCAAGTGTTCGAAGATCCAGAGAAACTTCATCATGCCTCAAAATAAAAGGGTGATGTGTGACTGTGCTCAATAGAATCACTTATCTTTTCTCGACGTTATTCAATTCGGGAAGTTAAGCCTACTTGAAGGGTGTAGTCAACTTTAATAATAGTTGCTTGCCAATTGTTCGCTTGCATTGAAGGGGTTGTTCCTTGAAGCTTTGAGAAAAAATGCCATTTTTATTTTTTTATCATCAATGAAAGAAATTTATTTTATAAGGAAGCAAAAGCAAAACTACAAAGAGAGGACAAGGAGTCCACTCCAAGAAGAGCTAATGACCATTACATCAAAACAAAAAAGCTAGAAAAACCATATATGTCACAAACTACTTTCTAGTATCTAGAAATGAAAAAGAATGGAAGCCCTCTAAAATGAGGTGAAGAAGGCACCTAAATCAACCAACGCCCAATGACTCACTTTGCGGAGAAGTCCCATGACTATCATGTGCATGCTCACTCAGCCCTTCATTTAGTCAACATATATGATTTGTAGATTTGAACATGGATGGAGTCACCGCCCCATAGATGTAAGGTGTTTGACATGAAAACCTTTAAAATTAGTTTGAGCATGTTGAGTTCCTTTGTTTGCAATTTTATTTTTGATCGAGGGTGTATTTGTAGATTTCTTATTGATCCAAGCACATATTTGAAAAATATACATTGGGAGAGTTGATAAGAATTATTGAGAAATTTACAAGTTGATAAAACAAAGGGGGACATGTGTACAACCTAATATGAATAAATGAACAAGAGGGGTTTAGTCAATCATGTTTCAATTAAGGTTGGGTAACTTCAGAAATGCATGACATTGAAGCTTTTCAGTATGAAAGGGAGATAGGGGAATCAATTGACCTTCTTGAGGTATGTCATTCCTTGCATTAGTGATGGAGGTATGCTATTCAATAGATGAGGTCCAAATTTAAAGAGTTAAAGGTTAGTCTTTTTATGAGGCTCTAGTAGCAGGTCATAGAAGACTTCTCTTTGCTTGGAAAGGGGTGTGGAGGCACAAAGGTCCCATCTAAGGTGGAGTTTTGTGTGGTGTGTAGTTCATGGTAAGATCCTTACCACTGGTAAAATTTGATTAGGAGGCAAGTTCATGTTAATTGATGTTTTACGTGTAAGCATGATGGAGAGTCCATGAGCCATCTTCTTATTCATTGTGAGGTGGCACTATATTTATCGTATGCTCCTTTCTTATGTTTGCTGCAGAGTGGGTGTTCCCTTTTAAAGTGGGGGAGCTTCTTTGTTCATGGAGAGGAGATTTAGTGTGGTGAAGTAGGAGAAACGTTTGGTGTTTGATAGCTTTGGCATTGGTGTTTGTGTGGGGAGAACAAAATAGAACTTTTTATCAAGGTAATGAAACCCGGACTGTTAAGCAAATTAGAAAAGTGACCAGGTCAAGGTTCACTAATTGAATTGTTGGGTCAATCGAAATTGAACCGTGATGTTATAATTACATCATAGATATATTAAAATTATACGTGAATAAAAAAATGAAGTATTAATGGAACCTAAATTTCTTAAATATTTCTTCTAATGTTTTTCTTTATGTCTAAAACAAAAAAAACATAAATACACAAAATCAAAATTAAAAATCCAAAGCAAATAATCTCACCACAATAATGGAATTTCTTGAAGGTAGTGTAAGCTAAATAGAGCTGCTAAATAAATCCTCAAACCATATCAATTAGACAACTGTACAATACACATAATCATTATATTTAAAATAGTAAATGAAAGCAAACATTCCATTGTTTTCATCTCTGAAAACTCAAAAACTAAAATGGAAACTTTGAAAAGTGCATAAGATAGGCCCTAATTTTCTTTTTGAAACTTCGATCACATATGCAATTTGTGTAACTCGTTATGCTCCAATCCAATGAGACCTCAAAATTTGTGGACTGTCCTCAATCACTAGCCCACCTGCACCTCCCAAAAATCCGTCACGACCACGATGGTCAACAAATAATAAGGTTTTAGTTCCTGGGAATTCTTCTGAAGGAACAACTCACAACAAATATGAAATGCTTACAAATCTATGACTACAGACCTAGTTCATGTAAATTGTAATAATTCTCAACAATATATTTGTGTGCTGGCATGGGGTGGAGATGAGTAGGTAAGGGAAATAGGAGGAGACGGTGATGGCGAGGAGTGTCGATGTTGGGTGCTGGTCGTGTCGGGGGTGGCCGGATGGGTAGGAGGAGGAGCCAAAAGGGTACCTGGAGGCTGTTGACTTGCTGACTGAGAGCCACTTGTTGGAGAAGGATTGAAGGAGAATAGAGAATGTTGTCTTCAAGTTTGAGCGCTCTGTCATAGGAATCTGCAAGGTGAATGTTGAATGAGGATTGAGCCCTAGCTGTTAGGGGGGAAAAAAAATATGGGTCAAAAATTGGCCAAGTGTGCTGAATGACTACCAATTTAAATGGGTAGCTACTTCAACTATGGTTCACACCGGTTTTTTAAAAATACAATGGTTTTCTATCGAAAACGGTTTAGGTGGTTTATCCAGACTGGAACCTAGACTCGTAGAATTGGCTGGTCTGGTTAAGTTTTTAAAACATTGCTTTCAATGGGAAGGGAGAACTTAATTTTAGGTTAAAGAGTAGATTTTTGTCATTTTTTAGCTGGTTTTCGGGGGTGAGTAATCCGTCATTGAACCAAAATTTTTTGGATTTTGCAGAGGACTTTGTATAGGTTTTTGATGTACGAATGACACAGGTTTTTTTTTTGGTATACAAGTTATGCCCCTTTGGTGCCTCTTTAATAAATGGTTTACTTTTTAAAAAAATGATTAAGAAGCCTTTTTGGTCTAAAGAAAGTATCCATGGTAGTCTTTAGAGTCTTAAATAATGTCTATTTGGAGTTAGATTCTTGTTGGTTGCTTTTATTTATGTTTTTTATGTCTAAAGTGTGAAAGCTATTTTGGTAAATTTTACTTTTGCTGGATGAGTTACAGTATATTAGCATACTATTAGTAGGCAAATTTGTGGAGTCTACTATTTTGATGTCTTAGTCCTAGTTGGAGTGTAGGCACAAAACCCTCTCTAGTCAAGTCCAAACCATCCCTAATCCTTTCCCCCCACCTTTTTGGCCCTTTAATTGGCACCAAAATACCATGAAAGCTGCTGTACAAAATTTCCAGCAACTATCTTTTTGCAAATCCAGCAATCGACACCTTTGGACTCAAGATAATTCTAATTCTTTTTCCATCTGAAAATCCTAGAAACTTTCTTTTATCTATTAGAACATTTCCATAAATAAACCCACTACAGTCTACAGATCAATTGTAATTTGATTCTTGGCTTCCTAGTCTGTCCTACATTGGAAGAGAAACGAGCTCATAACAATTACATTACCATTTAGTATAGGATATTTTAGTAATTTTCTGTACTGGGGCTGTTTTGTTTAGTATTGGGTCTTCCAATTTGAACCACTATAGGATATTAGAGTGCTCTATATGTTGGACATTATTTGCTTTCAGAAGTCTTATGTTGGTGCGGTTTGGGGTTTGTATTCTGCTTAGAGTTGCTATAGTGTTTAATTTCTTCTGATATAGCATATTCCATTGAGAAATTATTACTTCTGAGTGAAGCAACCATAAACTCTAGTACTTCTATCTGCTGAGTTTTGTTGTTTTTTTCCTTAATAAAATTAGTTTTTATGCTATTTACTAGTTACTCAACTGGGCATAAAATATAAAATTGTAATTAAAAATGTGGTATCATGGATGTTTGGATGGATTCCATTCAATAGAATGTCTTGAGAATCTGAAAATCTTTGTAGATGGCTCAATTCTGTCAATAATTGGTCAGACTTCCACGTTGTTTAATCATTGGGATTAGGCATCCTGCCTTATCCTGTAGATCACTTCATTGTTTCAGCACGTGTCATTTAGTGTCATTTTGGGCCACCTGAAGTCTTATGGGCTGCCTGAATTGGATTATTAGCTGCTTAGTTACTAATAGTGTACTTTTCTTTTCCCTCTTAGTTATTAAACTCT